AACCAGATGAAAAGAAAGCACTAAATAATGATTAATCCTTAAATATGTTATCATTGTGAACAACTTTATAAATTTTGCATTACAATGATTCTTAAAAATCTGGCTTAAAAATTTTGTTAAAATTATTTATTTTTTATCGTACCGATAAGTAAAGAAAGAAGTGAAATATATACCAGGCAAATGTCAAATAAGTGTAATCAGAATCAGAATTACTTTACTACTACTACTTTAATTGATCAATATAAACCTTTATTTCATGTGATATTTCATTGTGTTTCTGTAGTGACTTTGTTAGAGGGATAATATTCTAAAACTGTATGAAACCAAAAAATGATCATCAAAATGTAAAAAAACTAGAGTGTGTACCTTTGATATACAACCAACATACATAAAAAGTTTTGGAGAAACATTTAATTAAAAGACATTTTATTAAATATTTCTAATTTTGATCTGATAACAAATGTGTAGAATCGCCTTGTTTTTTTATATATATTTCTTAAACATTTCAAATTATGGGAAAGCTTTTCTTTTTGTGTTGCCTTTCAAATATTTTAAAAATTTCAGTCTGAACTATATCTGTTTCCATGTGGATAAAAGGTTTACATCAGGAACTGGGACTTTAGCAGAATTGAAACTTGCAGAGGTCGATGGAACATTAGAAAGGGTGGGGCTATTCCAGGAAATAAAAGTTATCTCCTGAAAGCACAGATGCACAGAAACGAGCAGAGCAGAGAGGGGAGACGCAGAGAAAAGCAGAGAGAAGTATGACATCCTGCTCTTTATCTGAAGATCTGACATGTTCAGTCTGTCAAAATATCTTCACGGATCCAGTGATCCTTTCCTGTGGACATTCTTTCTGCAGAGAATGCATCACACTTTCTCTGAAATCACTGAATCAGTGTCCACAGTGTAGGACGACTGTTCCTACAGACCGGATGGATTTCACAACTAATCACATCTTAAAAAGTCTTTCTGAAAAAGCAAAACAAGACAAGGAATCTGGGAAACACTCTGAGGTAAGGTTTTCATTATTTATGATTTTTAATAGCCAACGATGCAGTTAACCAGAGGCTAGAGGTACATGTTTGTGACTGTTGATTGTTTTATTGACTTTAAAGGCTCCTGTGGGGTTTTGCTCTGAACACGACGAAAGGCTGAAGCTGTTCTGCGTCACCGATCAGCAGCTAACGTGTATCATATGCAGGGATTGTGAAAAACATGAAGGACACAAGTTTAAACCAATCAAAGAAGCTGCTGCGTCGATCAGAAAGGAGGTAGAGGCATTTTTGGGAAAAGATTTCCATGATTTCAGCAAGATAGAAAATCTTGCCAAGTCACAGAATGAAGAAATAAGAAAAACCAAAGAAAAGTCTCAGCAGCTGAGGACCCAGATCAGTGGTCAGTTCCAGGAGATGCACCAGTTCCTGAGAAGGAGAGAAGATGAAATAATGAATGAACTAAATCAAAAAGAGGCTGATGAGCTTAAGGAGATGAGGGACGGGTTGGAGCTGGGGGAAAAGATGAAAGCTATACTGGAGATTACAGAGCCTGAGATTTTACTGAAGTGTTGGTCAGAGGACAACAGTATGAAAACTAAAAATCCCTTAAATCTCCAGTTGGTGAATTCGTCTCTGTCAGTAGGACTCTATGAGAGCCACCTTCAGCTCTTTATGTGGAAAGAAATGCTTCAGGTGATCCAGCCTAAAGCAAAGAAGCTTTCATTCAAGAGAGAAGATCCACCTGTTTGGGTACAACAAGGCTGTAGCTACAATCAGCCACTTTTTGGACAAAGCTATTCTCTATGTACCTGTCATTATAACTTTAATAACTTACTGTCTCAATACCAGAAATACTGTAACCCAGGTCAAAACTATGACTATGACCTTACAATAGATCAGATAGAGCCAGGGCCAAATTACTGGNTTTTGGGAAAAGATTTCCATGATTTCAGCAAGATAGAAAATCTTGCCAAGTCACAGAATGAAGAAATAAGAAAAACCAAAGAAAAGTCTCAGCAGCTGAGGACCCAGATCAGTGGTCAGTTCCAGGAGATGCACCAGTTCCTGAGAAGGAGAGAAGATGAAATAATGAATGAACTAAATCAAAAAGAGGCTGATGAGCTTAAGGAGATGAGGGACGGGTTGGAGCTGGGGGAAAAGATGAAAGCTATACTGGAGATTACAGAGCCTGAGATTTTACTGAAGTGTTGGTCAGAGGACAACAGTATGAAAACTAAAAATCCCTTAAATCTCCAGTTGGTGAATTCGTCTCTGTCAGTAGGACTCTATGAGAGCCACCTTCAGCTCTTTATGTGGAAAGAAATGCTTCAGGTGATCCAGCCTAAAGCAAAGAAGCTTTCATTCAAGAGAGAAGATCCACCTGTTTGGGTACAACAAGGCTGTAGCTACAATCAGCCACTTTTTGGACAAAGCTATTCTCTATGTACCTGTCATTATAACTTTAATAACTTACTGTCTCAATACCAGAAATACTGTAACCCAGGTCAAAACTATGACTATGACCTTACAATAGATCAGATAGAGCCAGGGCCAAATTACTGGAAGATAGACGTTAAGGATAAGAAAAGTTGGACAGTATATATACAGGATCATTCTTTGACATTTAAAAATAACCGATACACCAAAACAACTAATAATGGAACGGAGCACCTGGACTTTAAAAATAGACCTGAAACAATTGGCATTTATTTTAACAGCATCACCAATCAGCTTCAGTTCTTTGATGAAAACAATATGAAACACTTTTAAGGCATTAACAGCCGTGCTAGAGTAGGATAAAATCTCCTCATGCAAGAGCCTTACCACCAAAAGCAAACATTCAAACAATATTGTGTCCTCTAATGGTGACAAAGGAAGTGGTTTAGGGGTCAGTTGTAGTTTCACATAGAGCCAGGCTGGTTTGGAGAGATTGTTTTTCATTAAAGAGCGAAATCATGTAAAATGCATTATATGTAAATAAAGCTTCAATTTTCCTATTAATGTTTGTGTTGATGTTCTGAGACTGACAGCAAAAAAAAAAAAAGCAAAAACAAAAATTAACTTTGTTAGTTTTCTCAATCTGTCATTTTTATTTTTTCTGTGGTTTTGTGATGATCTGGCCTTAAAATGAATGCATGCATTGCCTCAGCTTTGCTGCAGATAAATAGTGAGTCCTTCAATTTTTTTCATTCCTATGGAAAGTAGAAGACTTTATGCATTGCTGAGCCTGAAAACTATTTTTTAGTTTATGAGCTAAATTTGGAGGAAAAGTCTTCGTCTGAAATTATCACATAAAATAATCTGTTATTAATCTGTATTGATTGCTGTTGTAAGAATGTGGAATTAAAACATTAAATCAAATCTAAACTATTCTATCTTTTGTCATGAAATCTTTTAATTCCTGAAGAAAGTAAATCAATAAATGCCTTCATTCATTCAGTTGTTCA